GCCCTTAGAAAAATACAATACCAACAAAAAAAACAAGCTAATTTAGTTACATAATAAAATAATAATGATCAATATCATTATATCAATATATGTATTTAAAACACCATCGGTGTTCAAGAATGAACAATTGCACCACAATATTATACTAGCACAATATCTTTATGAAAGAAAAAAAAATCAACAAAAACGCTGCACATCTTCGTGACGTTCCGTAAAAATTTTACCCTCATGCACCTATAGAAGTTTCACTTCGAAAAAGGATTGATATAATGTGGCTATAAAGCTCTTAACATCTGGAGATCGCTTCGACCCACTCGTCATTTAATTGCAAGTTATTTTATATGCCGATAAATCATAGTTTATGCATTTCTATTATCATATTGTCTTAAAACAAGCATAGTTTATATGCTTAGTTAGCTAAATAAGCCACTCCAAAGCCAAAAAGAACAACTAAAGAACTATATCGAAGATGTATTATGCTTAGCCCAGACTAAAAATCCATATGTTTGATTGAGTACCTAACTCCCTAGTATGAATAGTACAACGATGGGCCCCCAGTATCCGGCAGCCCATCTGTTCCTGGCAACAGAAGCGGTCACCGCAACGGTGGGTATACGGTACTAAGAATCCCTGGCAGAGAAACTTAGGAAAGAGGTTTTAAGAGGAGTCTATATCTATGTCTGAACATGCCCAAGAGTGCCCATATCCTAACTATAAGTAATGGTTGTAGGCCAGGTACCACTGAAGCGAAAGAGTTGAAATGGAAGCAAAGGAACGCCGATTACTGGCACCAGATAGCGATAGGTGATTCTCATTTCATCGGCCAATGATTTTTGCGGAGCCAGTGGAATATGTAGGGTAAACATTTACAGAGAAGAATATTTCTTTATTGTAAGCTATATAATGAGCACTGTTGGCCGAGTGGCTTCAGCGTGCGATTCTCACCCAGAGATCGTAGGTTCAATCCCAGTTGTACACCAATAGACTTTCTATGTGCGCATCTAAGACTTGCTCGTACGGTGAAGGAATTGCAAGAAATAGCAGAGAAGTGGCAGAGAAAGAAAGAAAAAGTCGACGGTGTATACTGTTTGGTACAGAAGGCTGATCACCTACTTGCAGAAAAATGAATCTGAGGCCAAAACTTAAAAGACTGTAGCGCTACTAGTAAACTATTTAAAATAATTTAATTATTCTTTTGACACATGTATAAACTTTTTTGTATATTTCACGTATTTCTTTTAAATTAAAAAAATATCATCACGCAGAGGATTTGACAGCAAAATCTGTCATTTGGAGATTATTTTTTAAAATTATAAGTTACATTTATGAAAATTTAAAATGTGTGAAAATCTTGACCCAAATCGCTTAAGATGCGAGCCGTGCCGTACAATAAATTTGGCGAAGCACATAAAACAACCAAAGCCCAACATGCAAGTGTATGAAAAATGTAGCCCTACGCATAAATTCGATTGTCCCCGCGTGACAGGTTAGTGAAGTGTCCTTCCGTCTTTATCGGCATTATCAGTTACGTGCAGATTGTACATTGGTTGTTAGGCCCTTTTTCCACAATTAACACACCTTCCATAAGCTTTACGGGGCGATTGGTTTCAGAAGTATTTGTTCCCATTGATTACTATATTAGAATAATATGATCAATAATTCCTTCTACGCCTAGTCAAGCTTTCGAATATTGTGCTTTTCGTCCAACCTGAAGGCAGGAGCAGCCCTCCTGGAGAAGACCAGTCTAACCACTGACCGTCCGACCAGAAGGTGTAGACCATCAATTTGGATCTTGGTTGGGACACTACCTACTTTTCAATTCCTACTACTTATACAGTTGTTTTCCTAAAAAAGCTATTCAAGCTATACTTGACGGGTCAAGAAGAACGAGCAGGAATGCGGGAATTGTTATATCATTATTATATATCACGAACATAATTAATTTTAAATAAATTGATTTAAATGGGTACAACTGCCAAGATAAATTTATTTTCGGAAATTTTCATTCTAAATCATTTTTTTTCATATTTACTTCAGATTCATACTGCTTTCTTTTCTGCAGTAAGTTTTATATCGTGTTGATAATATAAGTTCACAGACTCCATCCTCCTTGCTAAGATTTGATACTCTCCTTCAATGAATTCGTAAGACGCATGTAAAACATGGTACAGAATTTAGCTCTGTACATTTCTGTTGCCCTGGTAACTATTACAAAGTATGTAACAATTGTTACACAATCTCAAAACGAAGTAAAAAAACAAATAATAATAAATAAACTACTACAGTGAAATTTATTTCATTAAATTTCCGTAAAGAATGAAGAAAAGGAAAGAATTGTTTTTTTTTACAAAGAGGACCCGTTTTTTTCTTAATAATAGCGATTATTTCGTAGAAAATGAAATAAGATTTTCTCTCTCTTTATTATAAATTATTTTTTCGTTAATAAACAATATAAAAAAACTTGTCGCACAGAACTCCCTCTGCATCCCACCTGTATAAAAGTTTGCACCAAGGAAGAATATGAAGCAAGAACATGTCCCGGTAAAGTGCAAGTACCGAAAATTGGCCCCGTTTATGCTCATGGAAAATTAATGTACGCCTTAAAAGTAAGTAAAGATCTTATTCTTTATGTTAACTTAGTAGAAATAGACTATTGATTGGTGGAGGTAATTCGATGTCCACCTCCTATGAATTTCATCATCATTAGTAGTGACTTAACGGAGTATTTGAACTGCTTTGTCTAGGCTGGTATCCTGGTAGGTGCAGTGTATTTTACGTACACGCAAGGAGTATGGGGTGACCAACAAGACGTAACAGAGTGCATTAGTCGCTGGCAGGAATACATAAGAAGTATCAACACGAGACGTCCTCCCATCTTTGATATGTGTGGAAATGTTATTGTTAGTCCTTTTACATTATTTAGTTTAAACGGTCTTTCATTTATTGAACATGCTCCTCACTGACCATATATTCCTAGTAGTTTTGGTTACATCATAAATTTGTGTACGTCGTCAATCTTAGCGAATTCATTAAATAATATATAAAATAAATACACGGTGACCGACGTCAGGAAAAGATAAAGTATAAATAAAAAATGTAAAGTAGTAAGTACTGTTATTATCTACTATTTATTTACTTACTAAAGTAAATAATAAGTTTTTGAAATGAACATATAATTTAATTAATACACGTAAAATTACAAGTTGTAAATTAGTATAGTATAATTAATTAATCGAAATGATTAAAACGAAAAATTTGTGTTTCTGTACGAAGTGAGATTAAATACGGACTAATTTTTCAGTCAAGACATAATACACAACAGGCGATGAACTAAGGATTGCTTTTCATTCCTTAAACGTACGATGAGACTTGAGAGATTCCGCCATTTTTGTTTTTGCTCTGTAGGAGTTCTGTTGTCCTAATACTCAACGTCCCAACATGACACAACACTTGCCAATCCGTATCGTAAGGTGGAGACAATTTTCATAGCGTCCACATCGAATGCCTGTTGGCGGCGAATTAAATTTAATCGGTGAATGGGTGTAAGGTATAGTGACTCATCTATCTCGATCTCGACTCGCCAAGATCACACTTCATGGGCGGGGTTTACTTGTACGCTTCGCATGCTGTTATCAATTTTTATAATCTCCTAGTAACTGAAAGTAGACTGCATACGCGGTTCATTCCGTACACATCATTTATTTATTTTATATCCTTTTGTTTCCATTTTTCTTTATCCTCATCGATTATCGGAAACTGGTAATTTGGTTTTAAAGCAAATGTATTACCAGGTTTATTATTCACAATTATTATTTAAAACTTTTACTTAAACGATTCGACTTTTTTAAATTAACCGCTCATCATAAGGCATTCTTACTACTTATAAAAATGTTAAATGATGATTCAATCAAATAGAACAGTTACTAAGTAAATAGAATTCTGTCCTTGATGCGGACAGGAAGCAACTTCCTTGATGTTGATAACTGCCTGGTTTAATTGGGTCGTATCATTGACAATGTTCAGGCATTGTGATAACACAATTTGATTCATTCTCGCATACATAGTAGACACAAATGACAAATAATATACCTATGCTAATTATTTGTTCTAGAGGAAAGAATCAACGGAAAGCTTATTGGCCCCGGCATATGCAATGTACAAATCAATCGTTACTACTTGTTTCTCAGGTACACAAGTTTCTTTTATGATTTCTGAAGTTATCAAACTCTTTTTCTAAATGAAACACGTATAGAACCCTCCTATACGAGTTTCATTATAAAGAGTCACAAAAGGTCACAATGATTAAAAGATTTGTTAAAAACATATGTTTTTAAAATATATATATATGTAATACACAAATCGACCAGTAATTTTAATGATTTCGTATGTATACGTTTAAGTTTTGTTACCATTTGTTTGGTTTTGCGACACATTTAATGTATCTATAGTAATAGACATTACGTCTTATATAATATAATTCAGTTTCAATTACATGATGACCAAAGACTTATTTTATTTAGTTTTGCCGAACTTAAAAATGCTTATTAAAAGACATTACTTATCGTGATAAAGCAATTCAAATATAATGGTAATATGTTTTGTTTTTCTTACAGGAGTTGTTAAAGTACCACTTCTAGTAAAATGTGCATACTTGGATTATCTCAAAGCTATTGAGAAAATGAAAGACGAGGAAGCACGAGAACGTCAAATACGAAAAAAGAGTGGATAGCAGAACGAAAGTTAATCGTATAAAATGTTCGTGAAGTACCAGGTCAAAGCGTTTTTTAACAGAACTATGATGTAATTATGTAAGCAATGAATAAAAGTGTGTATAAAATTGCAAATATCATTTTAATTGAGTAATATAGAAAAATATAAATCTTTTAGTTTATTTCAATGCGAGAAGTAAACAATATAATTAGAAATACATTGATTCAATTCAATGTTTATTTTGGATTGCTAAAACGGGCAAATATTTCAAATCTATAAGAATAATTATTTTAGAATCTCGGTGACTTTCTTCTATCTGGACTATGCACCTCATAAAAGACTGTACTTTCTTCAGAAGAACCACCGGCAAGCATATACTCCAAATGTCGGATATAGGAAATTGCTATTCTGAAATGTTGATAATGATTAATTTTTGCGTACTATATCATAAATATAGTGCGTTGATAAATTATATTAAAATTGACAGGAATTGGTTAAAAATAACAACAACCGACTACGAAAAACCGAATGAAGTTATCAATTCGATGAGTATTTTTTGGATTTGTTCAAGTATAAATCATCCGTGGACAGATCTAAATAATCAACGTGTTAATAAAATCGAATTTGCAGGTAGTAGTAATTGTAAATGAGTAGTTTTTCATTTGGCTTCAGCGTGCAAGTCTCATCCCTGAGGTCTTAGGATCGATCCCCATGGATTTTCTTTCTATGGGCGCATTAAACATTCGCTCGAACGGTGAAGGAAAATATCGCGAGGAAACCGAGCCAAAAAGTCAAGCACAAGATTCTGATCATATTTGCCTATTAGATTAACAAATGATCATGTAACAGACAAATCTGAGGCCACTGATTTATTTATTTTACTACTTGTAAATATATCACAAAATTTAAATGTTTAAACAATTTGAATAAAATAGTTTTAGTTAACTACTACCGTAAACTTTCGATTTTCGAGTATTTCTTCTTCGATGGTTTTGACACAGGAAGTTTGGATCGCAGCAAGTCAAAAGCGCGATTCATGTCTCTCATTCGAGTTCGCTCTCTATCGCAAGCTGTCTTCTTATATTCTAAAAACATAAGTTACGTAATTACAATAACCAAACTAAACTCCTAAGTACAAGTATGTACTGAATATTGTATTACCCTTTTCAAGTTGTAAGGCTCTCTCTTTCCAATCCATAGTAGCATCCTGCTCATCCACAAACTTTCCGTGGTCGTGTGAATCTTGAGAAAATTCTACTGATGATCTAGAGTTGTTGGACTCCTGAATAAGTCTTATATCCTGGTAATCGTCGTGCTCAAAATATCTCGGTTCTATATTTAAAATATACACAGAATAAGAAAAAGTGTTGTTACTTAAGTGTAAACGGATTCCGTCCTATTTCGGAGATTTAAATTATTTATAAGCTCTCTCGACGCAAGGAAAAGTATATTTGTGTCGTATCCTGACAGTTCACGCACTGGAGTAAAAGTAAACTTTCTTTTGATTTCAATGTAAAAATGTATCAGATGTTTAATTTGTCATGTTTATAATTAATTTTCAGAATCGTTAATTATTATGATTCCACTTCTATTTCTTACGATTTAACAATACATCTCATATATACGAGTAGTAAGTCATTTATTTTTTTCCACCACGCCAATTAACTGTGTCCAGTTTGTGTTTCCACCACGCCAACTTTTTTCTATTTAGGATGATGTATAGAATAAATAAATAAATAAATAAATTAGTATGACAAACAGAAAAAAAAAACTCTACTAATTATTATACCGTATACGTCCAGAATCATAAATAAATCGTTTGTCAAGACTTTGAAACCACATAAAATGTGATAATTTCCTTTTTGGTTAAAAGGATATAGTGACACGTATTATTAAGCATTGGCATATGCTATCGTTGAAGTTAGACAAGGAAAATATAACCACACTTTCTTTGCCTTGCAATAAATATGCAGTTTTGCCAGGTTTTGATAGGTTTTGGGGTATATTTGTCTATTTCACTGATATATAGAAAAAAATAAATATTAAAAGCGCTTTAATAGTTTAAAAGCCTCCGTTAGCACATGTGTAGCTATCGATTTAAACTTTAGACTGATCCATTATTAACCTTTATCAAATTAAACGTGCACATTATATTAGTCCTACATCAAACGTAATTTAAATGAATTGACATGTTAATCTTATCGTTTGTTATAGCAAAATAGAAAGAATTAAGGTATTTAAAGTACCGGCCGGGCCATAGTTAGTCAATAGTTAAAATGATTCCTCACTTAGAATTTGCCTGAATAATATCGGTAGGCGTTTTAATTTCTAAAAATTCGCTTATCGCGTTGAATGAGAGATTAGGTAAACTTTTAATTCATACCATCCTGTGATTCCAAATCATGTGCCCGAAAATAAGAAATCCTCCGAGGCTCTTCAAAGTTATCCAGAGGATATGATCGGTGATGTATCGTCTTGTCATATTTCTTATGTGAGAACGTTTGCTCCTGCCTGTCGTCAGGCCGGCCAATTTCTATAATAACTCTTTCATCTGCTTTTTCCTCACTGTCTTTGCAGGTGTAATTTGCTTTAAGAGGTATCGGGGCCTCCTCGTAATTGTACATTATGAGATCACTTAAAACCGTCCATCAGCCACTTGAAGGTGATTAGAACTGTGTCATACACTTTTCTCCTCTATTGTTATGTATATTCGATCAAAGTTGTATTGTGTACACAAGTGTTGTTCGGTTTTTAGTATTTTGTGTCGTTTGTCTCTTTCGTATTGTGTTGTGTTTTCATTTTATAATAATGTAGCCCACCCTCGATTTTGTACAAAAATACCTAATGTGAAGATCATAAATATAAATAGGTTCAGTCTAACTTGACAATTATATCGATAGTTTTATTGAATACGAAATGCCTTAATATTTCTTCTCTTTCTTTATTATTTTAAGCTTATTGTTTTACTGTTTATCTTGCAGCATTGGAGAAATAAAAATTCAATTGTTTGAAAGTAGCTCTTTATTAGCAAAATATAATTCACGTGCTAAGCACAACCTTAAAATAAATTAAGACACAAAACATGGTTTAAAATAAACTTTGAGGCAAAGTTCCATTTTTAAATAACTCATAAATAAATAATGCCCCTTTATACGTTACTCACATTTCGCCTACAATTAACACCATTTTGTTATTATTTCTTCGTTTTTTTTTAAATAAAATTACAAGTGAGCACACATATTACTATTTGAATATTTTTAAATAACAAAGTTTCATCAAATCCAAAACAAAATTCATGTAAATTTTAACTATCAAAACAATTATTAATATTATGTTTTTATTTGACGAAAATAAAAAAATAGTATCGTAAATTCGGTGCTTTTGCAGGATTTGGAAACGACATATCATATCACTTATGGAGGAATATTTAAAAAACGCTGTACCAGCAAACGTTTAACGTTTATTAGAAGGAAATAAATTTATTTGTAAAAACGCTGTACATTTTAAGAGAGACACTTTAATAAATAGTAACTGTACATAAATGCATTGAAATAATGCGATTGATTGAGATCAAACGTCAATCTTGCGTATTTCGAAGAATTTCCTCATGACGTCATCAGTGACTTGAACACGTCGCGCTTGGTAGTCCTGTATCAGAGGTGTGATGGTTTCTACGGCCAACTTTTTCAATTCCCCAGTAAGTAACTCGCCGGATTCGTACGATTTTTTAATCTGCAATTTAAATAAAAAAAATCGTTTAAATAACATCCATCTGCTGTTAATGGCAAAACGACGATTGCCGGATCAGCTAGTTTTAATATAATATGTCAACCGAACTCGAGGTGTTACGCTCCCTTAAAACTACAAAGACTTTATAAATCGTACTAACTTCAGCAAGTTTCTCGTCATCTTCTAGGAAGAAGGTTAAGTATTTGTACGAAATATCCACGTCAGTGTTGCCACCCTTTTCCCGATGTTCTTCAACCGTCGCTTGTCCTCCAGAGAATGCGTATTTGTTAATCTGTAATAATAATCTCTCTGTAATAATAATCTCTCTGTCATAATAAGTCTCTTAGTAATTATATTAATTCCTAAAAGATATGGCAGACATTTTTACGTTAACCCATTTATACCTCCCAACCTAATTAAGTATTTTAATTAGGTATTCAGTCAACAGCCTAGTATCTTTAGTAAACAGCACCTTCTAACTAGTAGACAAGACTAACCACTGTTATATTCCTAACGCTAGACAAAAGCCAAAAAATGTAGTATATATACCATATAGTACATAAGCACAGTTTACAGATATGAAAATTTAATACAATCTGCTATTTATGGTTTGTAAATGCTGTCTATTTTCCTTAATATATTCTTTAACTAGCCTTGTTCTTAATCTGCTTCGGTGTGTCGTTAAGGAAAATGGAAGCATTGGGATCACTAGCTGACATCTTCTGCTGGGCACCTTGCAGTGCTGGAAGAAAGCTTGCATGAAGCAGAGCTGGTTTCGGCAGTTTCAGACGGGCTGCAACATCCCGAGTCATTCTGAAGTATGGGTCTTGGTCGATTGCACATGGGATAAGACATGGTACCTGTAAGATGCGTTAAGGTATTTCATAAACATGCTGTGAATATATGTATATACAGATAATTTAATACATAGTTACCTAAGAACTGGGAAAATGTAACTTTAATTTATAATATAATTTTTGTGAGTTGTTTACTCTTATTTTAACAACAGTGACTAGTTTTTGGCACTACTATCAGCAATATCATTCTTTTATGTAAATGTATTGTGAGGTTATTTAATATTTATCTCTTTAAGTAGAAATCATATAAAAAAATCTAAATGAAACTCAAACTCAAACTCAAAATATCTTTATTCAAGTAGGTAACCAAGTACACTTTTGAATCGTCAAGTTAAATTAATCGTAAATTTACATTTACTACCAGTTCGCAAGTCAAGGGCGTAGAGCGGGTAAAAATCTAAATGAAATAGATTATAATTTGAGCAAAACTAATTAATGTAATTTTCTCAGCTAAAAGGTGGTATTTATTCAAAAACTAGGAAGGAATTCATACTTACAACTTTGTTTTCAAATATAAATGGCAGACTAGTCGAGAAGGCTGGTGCTGCTTCTATTGAGGGAAATGTTATTTTACCAATAACATCTGAGTCTCCAAAGCCAAAGATACCTTTGACTTGATTAAAAGTGACACACTTTTGTACCCTTAACATATTCTGATAGAATGCCGGACACTGTCTGTAAAAAAATATGACGGTATCTTTCTATACATAAATAATGTGCAAAAGCCTTTTTTTGTTACTGGATGTTCTATAAAAACTTCCTATGAAAATCAATTTAATTTACTTATTGCCTAATTGCTTTACACCTACATTTACTTTTATTCTTAAATATTATGTAAGCAAGTACTCAAGGACATTTTGAAGGTAACATGTCATTTGTCGTTAGTAAGAAATCATTTTTTATCTATATAAACTAAGATTTTAGGATATTTATGTTTATGCAAATCCTAAGAATCTTTTTACACCTATTTTTACTTTTACTTAAGTACTGAGTAAAAGTCATGGTTATAGATCAAGAACTGTTTTTTTTAATAATTACCACATACATACCCAATAAAGTCTAGATCATTAAAAATAAATGTATTAGATGGATTAAAGCCAACTGCAATAATATCCTTAGCATTGTTAAAGGCCATTTGTCTTGCATCTTCTATTTTGATATCCTTCCACATAACCTTTTCATCATCAGTAAGCTGAATTATCAATGGAACATGAAACACATCTTGTAACCATCTAAAAGGAGAATATTTTTTATAACTACAGCTAACATAAGATACTTTCATGGATTTCTTAGCCACCCCAGGTTCTAATAATACATCTACAGACATTAAATTAAAATATCTGAACAAAACCTTATTCACATGTTAACTTTTATGTAAAGGTATTGTTTTTTTTTAATTTCATATATTTTTATATTTACAGTGTTTTTAAATATTACATATTGAAGGGACTCACTTGGTAAATATAAATGGTATTAAATGACCAATATGCATACTTTCAGAAGATGGGCCTCTCCCTGTATACAAATAAAATTTCTTGCCTGCTTCATGAAGGTTTAAAATAATATGGAAATCTCTGTGTGAAAAGAATATACCACGTCTTAAAAAGTGATGTGCTGAAACATTTGATAATGTGATAAAAATTATGATTCTGGGTATAGAAATTATAATATTCCTTTATGTATTACTACCTTTTTGTCCAGTCACTTTTTCAAACCTTTGAATAAGTTCTTCATCTATCTTCTGACTCCCAAATCTTTCTGAAAAGTATAGAAAAACTAAATATTATAAAACACAGAATATTAGATAGTTTAATAGAGAATTAGTTTCTAATAATAAAATAAACAAACACAAAAATATCAACTTTTAAATCTGCTAACTAAAGGTTCGGATTAGAACATAGAACCACTAATCCAGTGTTGAATAAAATAAGAAAAAACATACTTATAAGTTTGTCATAGTCAATTCCTGTTTGGGACTTTCCAGCTACATTCCATGGGTCTACGAAATCATCATCTTCATTAACAGATAAATTATTAACTTGCCCCTCCAACTCAGCCATGACTAACCTAAAAAAGGATGCATGATATTTGATATACAATAATCAATCAAGGCATTAGCATGAGCTTGTACAGTCAATACAAGCGCATTGACTAACACAACTTTTTAACATAATTGATGGTTAATTTGTTCTGTCTTTCATCAATAACATTTTCCATAATGGTAAGTATTGGAGACATAAAAAAAAAATATTTTATAAGAATGTGTCGCCTATCACGTTACTTACGTTTTTAATTTAGAAATGATATACCACGGTGTTTTAAATTTAATTTAAAGTATGTGGTAAAACACTAAAACATATTATATTCAATATTGATGTGATGATATCTATTGACTATTCAATAATCAGTTGTCAAGTGATGAGTGATGATTGTTGGCATAAAATTGTTGACGTTTAACATTTACGCTAACGTCATCTGTCAGATACGAATGAAATGGTATGTCAGTTGATGTAACTTCAAAGCTGAAGCTTCAATTAAATTTTTAAAAACTTTTTTCTGCATCTGCAGTCTGCACTAGTGTCTAGTGGCTAGTGCACTCTGCAGTCTGTACTGGTCGCTGGAGCAGTCGCAGTGGGCCCTCGTCGCGATGTACTGCCGTATTTAGGTTTTGTGTTAAAGAATAATAAACGTGCGTCTGCTCAAAATTGTATGGCTATTTGGTGTTGAAACAGCCGAAACATTTGTGTTCTTAATGGTTTCCGGTGATGATTTCAATGGTGGCAGATTACCGCGAAAAACAACTAGATCTCCGAATAGAAAATCAAAGAAGGTTGATGCAGATGTAGTAAAAGGATCAGCGTTGCGAAATGAATCGCAACCCTCTGTCCACAAAAGAAACCTCTACGTGGTTTCCTTTCCGATTATTATTCTCTTCAACCTGTTACGATCCATTTTATATCAGTTATTTATAATTTTCAAATATTTGTATTCTGCATCACATCGGTTTATCCATAGGCCTCGTAAAAGTGGTGAGTGCAATTTGGAAGTGGTTGTTAAAGACGGGATTATATCGACAGAAATTGTCCACGCTGAAGAAATGCCGTATACAAATAATGTTGGACCAGGAGATCCATTACTAGCCAAACAGAAGCATCATCATCGCAAGGCTTTTGAATACATATCGAAAGCATTGAAGATAGATGAGGAAAATGAAGGTACCTAAATATAAACCTTTGATACTTTTTATTTTGAATATGAAATGTTTAGAAACAGTTTAGTTAAAAAAATTCCAGAAATATAGTTTTATTTATTTTAGATTTTTTGTTTCCCATATTATAGAATAGAATTCCAAAATTAGTATTTATGCTTTAATTTTATAGGTCAAAAAGAACTAGCCATAGAATTATATAAAAAAGGGATCTATGAATTGGAGCGCGGTATTGCTGTGGATTGCTGGGGAGGTCGTGGAGATGCATGGCAAAGAGCTCAAAGACTACATGAAAAAATGAAAACTAATCTGGGAATGGCAAAAGACCGGTTACATTTTCTTGGTATGGTATTAATTTATAATTTTACATCACAGCTATTATTATTTATGCTCTAAATTTATGTTATGTGTCAAATGAAATTGGCTGTGAACTGCATGATAGCTTTTTCTTTTATTTTTTAAACACCACAATATAAACTGGTTTAACAGAGGAATTATTTCAATGTAGCCAACCTTGTGGCCCTGAGTAAATTGGGGGTTGAAACTGAGCCTGAGAGGAGTGAAAAAAAACCTATGGAGTCCCCATTTAAGGCGAGAAGGCCACTAGAGAAGTCGAAGACGACACTGCTAGCGCATACAGAAAGTAACAGTGGTCAAACGAAGCCACCAACTGAAGGTAGAATACCACACTATACTTAGCTTCGTTTGACATAACCTACTGCAAAATGAGAAAAATATATAACACTTGATGACAAAACAATTTTTTGATTGGTATTTTGTTGAGCAGTGTTTGCATGTGGGTTCACTGTGCTTACTAATTGTTTCATGCTTTCTGTGTGACACATTACAATTGTGTGATACAGAGTAAGTGTTTTTGTAGAGAACGAGAATCATTTTTGGATTTTTTATTTCATGCATGTCATATAACATAGGAGATTTTCATAATAATATTATGTTCCACATCATTTGGTTGTAGCTAACATTAAAAAAGGTAAGTATTAACAAATAAAAACCTAAAAACCCAAAGTGTATTTTAACAAGGATATACAGAAGAACCTTCTTATCTATACTAAATGCATCATTTTTAAATTCATCTGCATTAATTTGAATCACTAATATTAAATAAACAAAAGTTTATTTTCATGTCTAGTATAATAGTTTTATCTCTGAAAAAGTTGTGTACTTAATGAAGTTATTAATAACAATAATGATAAGTGAATGTTTGCCGAAAACGATTGATTGTGTCAAATTTTACCGCCAGTACACGTTTAGTTATACTCGTATAAGTATAAATAACGTATCATGATTACTAGGGGGATATCATAGAAAGTAATGATGCGTTGCACGTTAAATTTCCGCTTATCCGTGTTTCACAATGGGTACGTATCATGGGTCAGTAGTCACCTAGCGTAATAAAATATATGCGATATGTATTATGTTACAAACTTTCTATGAAACAAGGACATATCAAGTGACACTTAACAAGATTAAAGGACGAACGGGAAGTCCATTGTCCTAACGGTGTAAGACAGACTAAAATAGCAAGTTTGCTTTTTCTTGTCGCATGAAAGATGGCTCGCTGTCTTATAAGCGACATGGACTTACAGTTCCATACTTCATTTGTAATCATACGATAGTTGTACTATTTATGAAAATGCACGATAATCCGTTTACCCAATTTCGATAGGTAAGAATAAAACAAGGGTTTTAAATGTATTCTTCCAAAGTTCCATTTTCAAAACGCAAATAATTTTATTTGCGCTTAATAATATACAATTATTTATTTGTATAATAATAAAACAGAATTTTTAGACAATGCACAAAAATCTGTAATTAATAATTGCACGTTATCTCTTGTTCTAATAGCAGTGAATTTGTTTTGCAATTGCATAGTGGATCTAATTTATAATAACTAAAGTGAAAATATCAGTTTCATATGGCCTGAAGCCAAAACTTCGAATAGTTTTACAGTTCTGTGAACTCATAATTTCTGTACATAAACCTGTCTAAATGCGTGTTAACTTAATTAATATATCACAGTTATTTTGAAAGCCTTCCGAGAAATTGAAGACCTGACGAATAACCATAAAAATACGTCTTGATATACTTATATAGTATTCGTATAGTCTTACGAGAGCTAAACTATAGATTGGATGTTGGTATTAATCAAACCAAATTTATTTAATCATACTGGTGCGCAGTTATGAACATCTATTTAAAAAAAGGAAAATCTAAATTTATTACCATTGAGCCATGGTTCACATGGCTTCATATTGCATATTAAAACAAAATGTCATAATAATAAAGTATCAAACGCTTAGCATCAGCAGACAAACACATCAATTCATTTTTTCGTCACCAATATTTAAGTTGGTTGTATTTGAAATGAAATCGTTTATTTTGGCAAATGATAAGAACGAAACATTCAGTAAATATTTAACTATGGTTAATATTATATATATGTAATATATTAAACGAAACCAACCCGAGTTTTCAATAGGTCTTCATGTCAATTCCTTTTAAATTTTCCAAGGGCTTTGTGGTATTTCGATAATTCTAAGAAAGCCCCAAAAGTGGGGCTTCCCCGTGAAATTGATACTGATATTACCTTTCTTTATTTAAGAAATCGTAACTAAATCGGTTATCTCTTTGATACCCCAAGCACAATAGATACAGAATCCAGTCGTGACGTTTCGATCGTGATGCGAATGAAAATAGATAAAGCCGCGGAAATGTCACGCTTATTTATAATTAAAACGAAGCTAATGTTCCACTTACAGCATACTGTTGACATATTGCCATTATCTATATAAAAAGGCTATTAACAATCAATTTGTACTAAAAAACCGACAGGACTACTAAAATGTTATAATCAGGGTAATTGTTTTTTTCAGTTCAGGCGTTTGTTCTTTACAAACATGCCCTATTAATTATTTGAGGATCAGGATGTAAGGGTGAACTTTCTAAGACTTCAAATTAATCCACATTTTTTGTAACAATAATCTCATTATTTAATATAAATAACGTAAAACAGTATCTTACAATTTGTTTAGTCGGATGTAAGAAATAATAATATAGTAAAATAGTTGATACCGTTCGTACATATAATAAATCTCGCAAATAGGATTTTCTTACTTATAAATTATTCTGCAGTCTAGACTCGAACAAAGTCTAGCCATTTCATTTTTCCTCTTTTATTCTTTTAACAATAGACCTCAGAGTTCTTAAACACTCTGCGATCGCAAACACTTCAGTTATTATGAGATACTTGTATAAGAGTTTGAAAGGAGGAAAATATTGAAATTTTTATTGTCTAAGTCTTATTACTGGCGAAACAATTACGTTTATATACCCAAAAAATAGCGATAAACTCGAACTCCTTCGATTTTTAAAAAAATTGTTAATAATACTGATTTATAATTTTCCTTTAAACTGAATTCCCTGTAAATCTTTTGTACAAAACAAATGGAGCGAAATCTATTACTGTCAATACCTTAGTCAACATTAACATTGTATTTTATTATGCGTCATTTAACCTAAAATAGCAATATGAGCAAACTTCCAGTCTACTTCTTATTTGAGTGCTAAAATCGGCCCTTTTATTCCCTTGTTATGTTAGCATAGGCTTTTTAAGCTTTTGATGATTATGTATGAGTCAGCTCCAAACTTTGGTCAAACAGTGAAAGCTTTTTTGTACACTGGTATTGAACGTGACAGTTGTTAAACCCGTTTAATAAAAATTTAGTGCAATGTGGTCCTTACTGGATCATTTTATTCGCCGTTATTAATACGAAATCGTTTTTTCAAAAGCCCCATAAAAGCTTTTCAAATATGCGGTTTGGGCAAGTTATTATGTAATTCGAAATTTGAAAAAGTGATTTTTATTTATTAAAATATTAAAAGGGCTGTACTTAAACTTTAAAGGTGGGCACTTCTAGCAACTAAATCTGCAACGCTTAGTTAGAACGTGAAGTGTTCTTGAATTAATGGCTTTGAATATTAAACTGGCGTCAAAATCTTACAGCCAATCTCAACATAATATTAAATTTAATTCAATTCGTGGATGGGAAATTACTAATGCGAATACTTTAACAGATTTTAATATTATCTAGACAAGACTATTAGATACGAGCTGGTGGCGACTGTCTTCGTGAAATTACGTTTTGCAGATTGCAATTTGCTATTTTCCGATCTCAGATTTCAAATAAACAAAGCCTAAATGTTGCTTTCTAAGTCCTACATTAAGCTTAAGTCATCCGAACGATTCATAAGTCGTTTTTAGATAAATGATATGATTACTATTTCCTAATCATTCTCGCAATATTTTTGTATTAAATGTGTTTTTGGCAGTTTCAACGTATTGTTTAATTATTAATACACTGTTTATTCAGATTTCAATTTTAAAATTTATTTTACGATTTTTGTTACATGTTCGAATTTTGTGTAATTTTTGTATTAAGTCTAATTGAAGTATTCAAATGTAATGGATTGCTAAGGTTATTACTGCTAAGGTAAGCAGCATTGAACTACAGACGTTTATCGATCTCATATTGTTCTATGTTGACATCAAGGTCGTGTGCAGTGTGGTTCACTTAAATTGATTAAAATATTTTTAGGTGCGTCGCAAAAATCAAAGATATTCAAAAATTATATAATACTTGCTCATTGCGGCCTAATTCCTATTCTTAACAAAAAAAAAAAAATTTTTTTTCTAGGTTCGTATATTTGTTTAAAAGAAAACTGAAATATATTTTAAAGATTTACTTATTTTATACGCAGTTTTTAATTTGCTTTAAGTCGCGACGTCAGATTAAATCATGCATTTTTTATACAAAATTGTACTTACCTACTAATAATTAATTAGTATTTACAGGTTAAAACTTTCAACTACTTTGCATTTAACGTAACATTTTAAATAAAAGAACAATAGGAAAAGTATTTTTTTCATAAAATATGCTTAGTGCTTACGTTATTGTTACAGTGCAACGAACCTCTAGGTCTGCAATTCTCTAAGTCTGATTAGAATGGCTAGACATTTTCATTGTCTAAGTTAAATAAATAATTATTTGCGTTATAAATTGAACGTTATATATTTTGTATTAGATACTTTTTATCCTATTAGTAGTATTAGATGTTTAATCCTATTTTAAATAATTTATTTATTACGTAATGTATTTTTTTATATTGGTAAGGAAATGTGTGTATTATTCGGATCGTTATAGTTCGATTTTCAGTATTACAATACTTGTTTCGGGTATATTAGACAAAAATCAAACAGACACTAAAATGTGTCTGCTATCGGGGAGTTACGGGTCTTTCGTCTCTATATTAAACCATTACACGTTATAAAAAAAAGAATGAGCGTAAATTAATTTCACGACCTATTAGACATACGCCCGAACCTAATAACATATCTCAATCCATAATCCACCGTCTGAGTTAGTAATGTTAATCCAAATGTTGTAACAAGTTGTCCAATAACCAATCGACGGACTGCAATCATTGCAATTATGGCCATCTGTCGATACAAGCTATCCATGGGAGGTCGTATCGGTGTCTGTGGATAGACCTCTGTATGAAAATGACAGTTGACGAAAGCTCGATTTCAACAGTTAATTATTTTAACCGATTTTAACTTACACCAGTTTTTTAAATAATTAATAATAATAATAATAATTTTTATTAATCAGACAAATACA